CTCCGTTGCTCTGTGTTTGGCCCACCTGCCTGCTTGGCCTCCCATACTCACTTTTATGGTCAGAATTCAAAGTGCAGCTGCTTTGCGTGGCGCAGAATAGAGCTGCGTGGCAGCTGCTGCAGTGACCAGCATTGTGCAGGCTTGCAGGAGGTGAGTTAGAATGCCTCTGCACCTGCACAAATGCCTCTGCACCTGCGCCAAGTGCACGTTTGGCACGCACATGCATGAAAAGTGTGTGCATGTGTGCAAAGCGTGCCCACCGAACTGGTAGCAACTTTATTTGAATACCACCACTGGTTCAGGAGGACCACAGGTGGCCTCCCTAAGCTACGTTTTTGTTGGCAGACGCACTGTGGGCTGGTCATTTGCTGTTTCCAGGGTGGGCCAGATCTAAGAACCCATGGGCCAGATCTGCCTTCCAGACCTTGGATACTACTGCTGCGGACTAAGACATCTTTTCTGCAAATCTCTTTCCTACAATGTAGAAAAGCATTTTTCTTCCACTTCAATATTAATATGAACTCTAGGAATAACTGTGATGACTTACTATGGACACCTATAGATTATATACAATTAAATGCTGGAAGGCTAAAAAAGCATCTATTCTGGTGAACCTTTGGGGTAGAACACCTATTTTCCTGAGTTTTCCACATTACTCTCACTGTATCTCACTGTATAATCAAGAGTTATATGAGTATGACCAAAGAATATTTAAAACAGCATCATTTCCCCATTCAACAATTCTTTCAATGATTACGTTAAAAAAGACAGACCTAATATATTGTGTCACATCTGTTTAATATTTCAGAAACTTTTTTTTCACAATGTTAACTTTTTGTGAATTGAGGATAAGTTGGTAAAAGTGTGAATGTTTTATCATTATATAAAATATGGAAGATTGTTTAGAAGGGATTTTTCAGGCATGTTAAGGAAATATAAAATAAAACTTCTCTACATTCTGCAGTCTAGAGGCCACTGAATGGATCTCCCAATTTCAGTTATTTACAGAACAAAAAGTGTCTACTGATTACATTATTAATCAAACCAGTTATGTTTTGAATGTATTGTCCATCGAAAGAGGACAAAGACATTATTTGCATAATTTTATTTGCATATTTAGAATAGATGCAACCATTCAAATAGTAATATACCGTATATACTCGAGTATAAGCCGAGTTTTTCAGCCCATTTTTTGTGCTGAAAAAACCCCCCTCGGCTTATACTCGAGTCAGATTCCCTTCTGAAAAAAAAATGGTGTGGAGCTCCGGAGCTGGGCAGGCGCTTCCCTGCTTCCGTGTTTCCTTTGCAACTTTTAAGCATGGGGGTAATCGGAAGCAGAAAAGTTCTTGCATGAGGACATATTGTTTTTTTCTTTTTTTAACTGTTTTTAGGGGGGGGGAAAGACCCACCGTCATGTGAGAATGCTCAGACACGAAATCTATCCGCCCGAAAACAAGTGTGTGTGTGTGGGGGGGGAATTTTAACAGAGAGAAGATGTAGGGAGAAGGCAAAAGCGACGGAAGATCCTTCAGGGGAAACTGAGGGGGAGACTCACCCTTGGTCCAGATGAGCCCCCTTCCCCGCCCCTAAGGAAGCAGAGGCAGCCAGCAAGGGCAGGCAAGCCCCACTTCACAGACTCTGTCCGTCCTCGCTCCCACCCACCCACCCAAAGCCACGAAGTCCCCCAATCGCGCAGCCCAGAATCGCCCTCCCCTCAGGGGGCAGCAACGACGCCCGGTTTTTCCCGAGACAAGAAGCTCCGCCGTGCAATGAAAGCGCCCTGGCTCTAGGCTCGCGGGCTCAGAAAACAACGAGAGCCGAGGTCGCTTCGGCTCCGCTCGGCTTCTCCAACATCCGGCACCGCCCTGTTCTATGTGCCGGGCCCGGCAAGTCCGAGAAGCCAGCGCGTGGAGCAGCCAGCACCGGACATCGTTGGCTGCCTCTTTCGCAGCACGGGAGACCTCCCCCGGCTGGCCAGCTGCTCTCCTCCTTCTCTGCCTGTTTGTTCTGTGTGGCCGAGGAGGAGGAGACCGGCCGGCTGGTTGGGGGAGGCTTTCTGCGCCGAGGGAGGCGGCTGCTGGTCTCCGTCTTTGCTCCGCTTCTCTGATGGTCCGGCGCCGCCATGTTCTTTACTTGGGCAGCCGGGCGCCCGCAGCGGCGCCCACGGCGGCAACAGGCAGTTCCGCCCGGGCTCCGCTCAGGTGTCCGGCTGGGGCTGTTGGGAGTTGCTGCCGCCGGTGCGGCCCCAGTCCCGCGTCGCCTCTTGCAGACAGTGTGTGTGTGAGTGTGTGTGTGTGTGTGTGGAGGGGAGGAGGGAAAGCAGGCTTGTTCCCAGCAGTCCTCCAGGCGCAGTTCCTTCCTCAGTGGCCGTCAGTACCTGCCTTCCTTGCGGCTGCCATGCAGGGCCCTGAGGTGGCCAAAGGCAGCTGCCGGCCACCAGCACGGGGCAAATGGCCACACGACCTTTTCCTTGGCTCGCGCCCTTGGCTGGACCTCCGCGGCCTGCCCTTCCCTTCCCGTCTTGGGTGTGCTGTGGCTGTTCTTCAAACCTTGGCCGGCCGGCCGAAAGGGCAGCCTGGCCCCTTCCCCGTTCACCTGTCTTTCCCCTGCCTGCCGTGTAGGCCATGGAAGGGAGGAGGGACCTGGAGAGGACGTTAAACGCCAGGGTGAAGGAGAGTCTGGGGTCTCTGGAAGATGCGAAGAGGGGAAAGGTAATCGGGGGGGGCGGCCTCCTCTGGGGCAGCTTCGGAGGGAGGGCAGGCCACGCCCAGTGGTGCCCCTCTGCCTCTTCCCTTTGCCAGGCGATGGCGGAAGAGAAGCTGTTGGTCTGGGAGAGGCTCAGAAAACAATGCGAGCCGCCACCACCACCTCCTCCTCCTCCTCCCGAGCGGATTGAAAGCAGCTGGGGCTGAGGAAATGAAGCTAAGTGGAGCCAAAGCCACCTTGGCTCGCGTTGTTTTCTGAGCCCGCGAGCCTAGAGCCAGGGCGCTTTCATTGCACGGCGGAGCTTCTTGTCTCGGGAAAAACCGGGCGTCGTTGCTGCCCCCTGAGGGGAGGGCGATTCTGGGCTGCGCGATTGGGGGACTTCGTGGCTTTGGGTGGGTGGGTGGGTGGGAGTGAGGACGGACGGAGTCTGTGAAGCGGGGCTTGCCTGCCCTTGCTGGCTGCCTCTGCTTCCTTAGGGTCGGGGAAGGGGGCTCATCTGGACCAAGGGTGAGTCTCCCCCTCGGTTTCCCCTGAAGGATCTTCCGTTGCTTTTGCCTTCTCCCTACATCTCCGCTCAGGTGTCCGGCTGAGCCCCAGCCCGTCGGGAGTTGCTGCCGCCAGTGTGGCTCCGGTCCCACGTTGCCTTGGGAAGGGTGGGGCAAAACCAGGAGCCGCTGAGCCTGAGCCTTCGGTGCCGCTGCTGCTGTTGCAAAGCGCTGCCGCAGCTCTTCTTTTTTGCCTTTCCCTTCCCGAGGCGACGCGGGACTGGGGCCGCGCCGGCGGTAGCGACTCCTGACTCAGGGGGCCTCCGAGGAAGGGGAAGAGAGTGATTCCTGCCTCCCGCTGTCATCATCACCTTCTTCTTTTGGGTTAGTGAATCAATTAAACCTTTCATGATAGTGAGATCGTTTCCCAAATTAATTATTTTTATTTTTGAAATTTACCAGTAGCTGCTGCATTTCCCACCCTCGGCTTATACTCGAGTCAATAAGTTTTCCCAGGTTTTTTTGTGTAAAATTAGGTGCCTCGGCTTATATTCGGGTCGACTTATACTCAAGTATATACAGTAATTAAAACTCCCTATGACAGTAGGGAAAATTAATGTTTATTTTTTACCTACTTTGTCAACTGTATAGCTACCTTCTAATGATTTATGCTATCCTTATAAATGCAATCAATCAATAAATTCTTTATATTTGCTTAACTTTGGATTACATATATAAACCAATAATAATTCTGGCCTGGAAGGTCCGGAGTTATACCTTGACATATCTTGATTAGCTGTGGAAGCCAAATAATTTGACACATTTAGACTCGCAGGGGACACCAAATGTAAGCAAAAATTATCTTTGGCAAAATAGGGCATATGGATACTGTGTCTCAAACAGGTAAAATCAATTATTTCTAGAAGTTTGCAGAAAGAAAGACTAAAATTAAACAGCAAGTCTTTCCAAGAAGCTGATTAACCTGGCTATAACATTTTATAGAACTAAAAGAAAGCACTTTTTTGAATGCACTGATATCTTGTGAGCTTGGTATAAAACATGGAAGTTCAATTAGGGTAAGAACCTATTTAAAAGTATTAAAGAACACTTTTTATTGCATAATTCTGAATGAATGAAATCAAGGTGTTACATACATTCTAAAATGAAGAAAATGGCAATGAACCGTAATCAAGTTAACAGCATTAATAATTAATTATGAACATATCCATTTTAAATGTGCTGGGTATATCTCTTTAATTTATCTTAATTACTGTAGCATACAGGAACATTTCAAATACTGAAGTTCCCTGGTTTCACAAAAGGACTGATTTCACATTGCATCAGATAATTATGCCTCTGAAATGATACACTAATTTAACTCCAATATTAGGATCAAGGTTAAGCCTCTTTTAACTCAAGCTCAACTCCTGATAATTACATGATCACCTCCATGTTAACCTGCTTGACAGTAGAGTTTGTGACTGCCTTATTCCAGGTTGTTTATCATTTTTCATTTTACATTCTAGTCCTTTGCTATTCCTTGGTGGCCTCTTATTTCATAAGTGCTTGCTAGGTGTCAGGAAAGAAAAGCAACAAAATTTTAGGTTGCAAGTATATAAGGATTATGTTTGTGATGTTGTATCATCATGGGCATTATTACCTTTCAATCATTATTGCTTCCTGCAGAAATTTTGTTCTATTCAAATATTAAGAAGGCTCTGCTTAGCTTTCCAGTTCAGACAGAGTTGACTGTATATTCTTTGAAACCAATTACAAAACATCCAAATATTAATAAAGAAGATTAAGTACCTCTCCAACATCATATATCCAGATCCGTCCTTCAGAGTCGCCGACTGCTACTTCTTTTCCAGCCTGGCTCCAACGAACACGATTGAGGGCAGAAGCTCCTTCAATGGTCACACTAGCTGTTGGAACCTATCAAATATATTATTCTAATATGAATGAGGACATTTATAGAACACTTACGTAGGAAGGAATTTATTGTCTTTTACATGAAGAATATGAAAAGAGAAGAGGCAGCAGAGGAAAACCAAACTATTAAATGGCAGAAAGATTTATGGACAATACATGAAGACCAAGGGACACAAATGTTTAAGTTGGTTTTTTTTTTAAATCCAAACTTCAGACATGCTAAAACCAGCACTGCTTTTTTTTCTTTTCTTTTCTTTTCTTTTTTGGTATGGCCTAATAGATCAAAAGATGACTGGCAAAGACTAATGAGCTTACATGTGGTACCAAGCATAAATTGAAAACTGAAAGATCCTATCCTTGTAGCTTTATATAAACATTTTACTGACCTCAAGCAATTAGTTTAGAGGACACAGGATGAGATCAGAAATAAGCAAACAAACAAACAAACAAGAGGACTACAAATGGGGCATTAATAACTTTCATGTTATTTCTTCTACTTACATCTCATTTTGCAAAACTGAAGAATATATTGTCCAAGAAAAGCATATGAGAAGCTTCAAAACTAAACTGGTCTAATCAAGAGCACAGCAGTGATGCTGAAAACAGGTCTACATATTCTGTATATTGCACAACTATATGTAAATATGAAATCTGAGGACTGAAATTGAATCAACTCAGCTATCTGAATTTAAATCAATTGGTCAGAGGCATCACGGACTGTATCGTGACATATCACAATGTTTTTGCCTTTGCGGAGCCAGGGTGGGCTCCTCAAAGGCAAAAACGGCCTGCGGGCTGCCAGTTGGACAGGCCTGGTTTAGATGTAATACATGTATCAGCTGGAATACCATCTGGACCCTCATGTATGCATAATTTCCATTGCTTTATAAAATCAAATTATTCAGTAACAAGTAAATATTACAGAAATTATTTTGAGCAAGATCTACTCAATTTCTTACCAGTCAACAGTCATTGGCTGGACCTATGAATTTTAACCTACCAGCAAACATTAAGATAAAAGAAAGGATTGCAAAGTGGACACACTCAACTTTGATGTTCTCTTTTATAGGATGGAAACTATGTGTTTCTTCCTGAAACTTTGCCTTATTTGTCAAAAATAAGGTCAGCCTGCTTCAATTGGCAGATTTAGCCCTCCGCCCAAAAAATGGATTTATGAAGGATCAACTTTACTTCTTAGCTGATGTTCTGAGATTCTTTAGAATATTTTCAACAGAATTTATACAAATAAAAATAGCTTAATATTTTCAACAGAAAATATGACTTCTTACTTAAAAAATAACTCAAAGTAGTTTAATTTTTTTCAGATGTTGATGCTTGATAATATTTGACAAAGATAATATAATTCTATAATTAAGAAGCAATTTTTATTTGTATAAATTTGCATTTAAAATCACACACATATATAGTACTAGAATATATATGAAGATCATCTGATGGAGTTTATTTGATAAGTGAATTAAGAGGTTATAAAAAGAAATCCAAGACTTTGGAATACTATCCTTAGGACTTCTTCTCCAAAACATCTGATTGAACTGTCCCAAGCTTTTCTATTTGTTGAGTTTATTTAGTATTGTTTTAATTGCTTGTGCACTGCTAAAATGCAGGCTGGAGAATTCTGGGAGTCGGGCCATATATCTTAAAGATGCCAAGGTGGAGAAAACACTGCTGCAGATTAACATATTATGTTGTGAGTGAAGGACGGTCCAAAATTTTAAAAATTAAAAACCTAACTTAAAAATTTAAAAAAATATGTTACAATTACAATGTAACAAAAACATTAAGCATATGATTATACCCTATAGATATGGTTACTGTTAGGGATATACACTAAAACTGCAATTAAATTTGTGATTGAACCACTAAATAAACAGATAGAACTAGTGTTTGAAAAAAATGTTATTTGTTGAGAAATTATTAAAACAAGGTTTATTTCATTTTAAAGCATGATATAATCCTTGTTTTTGGATGGTCCAGACAAATTAGAAGGCTCCAAATATTTTGGATATTCTATCAGGAATTCTCCTTTTCTTATTTCAAAATTTAGCATCCAAATGTAAAATGAATGCCTATCTGAGAAGTACTAATTCTGGAAAAAGGTATTCCTAGCTTTTTCTCCCTAAACTGCTGCATCCCTCATTGATATATATCAAACAGAACAATTATTCTCATTTGAGAACAATGGAACTCAAAAGTAGAAGTTCAGAAGAATTGAATGAATCATTTCAGCTGTCCTTACATAGTCCTGAAATCTAATTTTTAAACAATTTTAATTAAGTATATTCAAGTCACATGAAGAACAGTTTGGTGCAGTAGTTAAGATATTGGAATAGAAACCAGAAGACTGTGAGTTAAGCATAAGCATGAAATCTTGCTGGATAACATTTGGCTAGTCATCTTCTCTCACAGGATTATTATGGTAGGAAAATAAGAGGCAAGATTATTAAGTATGCCTTGAGGTGACCAACATATATTTTAAAACAAAGTATGATAGACTAATATAACAATAGTAATAACGTATTATTTCTAATATGAAAGAATTGGTAGAAAAATGTTAACTACATTGGATACATGTTCGGGATATAATGTATGAAATAATTATATATAATAAAAAAATTACATTCATGAATATAATTAAACATGAATATAATTAAAAACTATATTCATAAGGAGGCATGAATACAGAAAATTGTTTTAGCCCAAATGGAAAATACAATTAAGAGTGATAATATTTTTCTCAATCATGCCATTTTAAATATATGATTACTGACTTCATTAGGAGAATGTGGAAGTATAGATCAATAGATATTTCTTAGAATTCTATTATTATTAAATTAAATAGATCAAAACATGAAGTAGAAAAAAATACCACTTTCAGACCCACTTGATAGATAAGTAACATATGATTAGCAACATTATTTTAAGCTTTAAGGATTTCCCTTATTGCTTTTAATTTGAGATAAACAAGTACATCCAAACTCTCATAATCAATCAAGGATTACAAAAAACCTGCATCAAAAGAAAACTAATTCAACCCTTTTAACAAACAGAAAGCCAATGGTGATTTAAAAAAGGAATGCATCAAGTATTTTTTAAGTTAAAAGTTATATACACATGTCCATGAAACAATTTCAAGATAATTGTATGAAGTTGCCAAATACAGACTTTACTGGTTCTGTTGCTACAGCATGTTACAATGCAGACATTTCCGTTCTTAGGCCTGCTGGCTACGAATTCTATTATCAGTAGTGAAAGCCCCAGATTCAGAAAATTGTTATAAAATATGTGTATTACACTTATAGGCACCCAAAATTTCTAACAAACTTTTTAAAGTTGTGATCCCTTTCTCACTTTCCAAGAGGTCATTTTCATTTTATCAACATTATTATAATGTTCATGTTTTGGTGTCATCTTTGCATTGTTTTGATAGTCTTATTGATTTGTATTTCTGCCTCCACTTACCATCAAAACAATATCTTTTTAACCATTATCTATTTTGAATATTTAAGAGAAAAGCAGAATATAAATGTTGAGACTAAATTAATTAAACTATGAACTTGGAAAATTGCTGTGTTATTGTCTTAAGGAGTTCAACATTGCAGCTTCTTCCAAGAATTACAGCAAGAAACCTTTCCAGGACCTTTTTGTAAATACCACAAACATTTAAGGCCCATTTTATACCAATTATGCATACATCTATAGTATGTTCCTAATTAGCTTTGCCATTATTTATATGAAGTGCTCAAAGCAACTTCTAGGAACAAGCTCCTATGACCCATCGTTTCAAATTGTACTATGGATCGGTAGGTTCACTGTACTCAACCGCAAGTCCATATTGCATATCTGTACTACAGTAAAAACACACAATGTGAACTCTTACAAGTTATATATTGCCAACACTCTTGTCTTTAATTGAGTTGAATCAAAATATTTAGCTGAAATTGATTAATAACTTGATCCCAAACTTGTGGAAAAACAAGTTCAATTTAAATCACTGGGAGCTGAAGTGAAAGACTAGTGCTAAGATTTTCAAAATTCCCAATGATTTAAACTGGACATTTGAAAATCATAACACCAGTTCTAAAGCAATGTCTGTATTTTTATCACAAAATTATAATGCTAACTATCTTACCTCCCAATAATTTTGCCTGTTTAATAAACAGATTAGTCTATTAAAGCTGTGGTGTTGCAACCATGTAATTAGTCTAAGATAAATCCTTCTATCTAGTAACAAATCAGATTTTACTATGATTATAGACATGTAGAACTAAAATATAAATTATTAAAACTAAGGGTATGATTCAAACTAAGATACTGTTTTCTTTAATTTTATTGGAGGTGATCTAAGTTTAGGACTGGCTTTGCTTTATCTCTTAAAGTGGTGCCCCATCCGCTTAACGCTGCCTGGATTGTGGCCCAATACTTCTCAGGGAATAAAACCATTGTTTTGTACAGTTTAAAATTGCCAGGCAAAGGATCAAAAGGAAAATTGCTTTCAGTTGTTAAAGCATTTTCTCCTTGGTTGCTACTGTGGGTCTCTGATTAGTTTTTACTGGCAACATGCTTGCGTTGAATTTATTCCTGCTGGTGTCCTAACAGGAGAAAAGGAGAGAGAAAAATCCTGACATTTCTTCATGCAACATACACTAGCAGTCCAAATTAAACAAATGAGAGTAAAGTAAATCCTATGGCTATATTCTTGTTCAATTTCACAAGCCCTTTTGTCCTGATCAAAGAACAATTTCAACATCCTATGTAAAGAAGACTTGTGTCAATTAAAAAGGGGACATATTTCTTCCCATTCATTTTAAAAGCAGCAAGATTTGGTGTTAAGAATTTTTAGAATATTGACAGTCAAATCTCCTTAACAATAACATCTGTATAGATGTGTTTCCACTTCCAAATTGTCCCCTTACCTCAAAGTAAAAATTGAAGGGAAAAAAATCCTCCCTATTCAGCTACTTTATAATTAAGCTGCCTCTGAAACTTCCTGCTAAGAGCACTTCAAAAGATCTACAGTCTCTACTTGACAATCCAGTTTTCAGCATTTGTCCTTCCTTACCTGTCTTACATGATTTACAGCCAAATCAGTTAAAAATTTGTATTTTCTTTCTACTATGAAATACATTATAGTAATGTGAAAGGAAAACTAAATAAAAAGTGAAGAAGAAAATAGTTAACATATTACTTTTGCTCTATTGGCTGAGTTACTTCTGTACTAAATGTCCACTTGTATATAAATTCATTCTCCTCTGCCTCCTTCACATACCATCCAATTCATTAAATATTGTCTTGCCTTACCAGTTCCTGCGTCACAGATGTATTGTACCAATGCATACTCTGGATTTTCTGTTCTTGCTAATACAGCTAGCTACTTCTGCAGCTACAAATGTGAAATGTGTTATCATTATTACTTACTTTCATATAGCTGCTTTATAGGCTTCATTGCTTTATTCTGCATTACCTTATTGTTTTCTTACAATTCTGTCAGAATTTCAGCTAAAGAACACTTCAAAAATGCACTGATGTTAGTTCGTATGAGATAATATTTATCAGAACTCAAGTTCAAACCCTGCTTGTAAGCATTGTTGCTGAATGGCAAGATTATTCTTGCAAAAAAAAAAAGAGGAATAAAAAGTTCAAGAGACCATTTCTGTAAAAATAAATAATACGTACTCGTTTCATAATGGGAAAAGTAAAAAAACCTGCCCATCTTTTGAATTCAGAATAAAATAACACGAAACAAATAATAAAGGACAGTAAAAACAACTACAGCAAAAATATTGATTTTCATGAGCCAAATGTATCTTCTCAAATTCTCCCTTTTTTAAATCTCCCATTTCAGGTCTTTCAATGCTAAATAAGCAACTATCTTTTCTCTGATTTCTCTTTATATTTCTGGCTGCTACTGGAATGGAAATCTTCGCTCCAACATTTCAAAAAATTAATTGAAAAGAGCAGCTTTGCAAAGAAAAATCTGTGTATGCTTTGAAAAATATATATATACTGCACAAAAAGATGAAAGCTCTCAAAATATTTGTTTATAAAATGTATAAGCCACATCTCGGTTTAAAAACAGAAGATTCTCACAGCAGAACATAAATAGGAACTAAACAATAATGGTAACTTGAAGTATAACAATTAATCATATTAATTTGACTTAAACTACAATATGCATGAATAACTTGTTTGATAAATATGAATTCAGAATATCCCCAGAATATTTCATTTATCATTTTTACTTTTGTAATAAAACAAGGCTTTATTGTGGTAAGACTTGCTACAATAAATGTAAAATGATAATGGATCTGCCTCATGTTCATAGTTACCTTAGAAATCACCTCCAAATAACAAATAAACTTTACAAAACTGAGCTTTTTCCTGGTTTACTTTTCAGAATAAAACTGATCATCTATTAAGTAATAAATATCCTAGCTTAGGTCATATCTTTAAATGCAAGATTGTAAGAGAACGGTTCAGAATATACTAAAAACCCTTCTTAAGAGTCTGTAAGCAAAGAATTTTCTCCCATGCAGCCTTTTCTTCAGGAAAAATACGAGAAAAAGTTATTCTTTCTAATCCAACTTATCTTAACTAACTACTGGTGTTCCACCTGCGTCTGCTAGTTGGTTTTCCATAAAAAAAAACACTGGAAAAATATAACTCATTTATTATAATCATAAGTGGAGCTTCCTTCTGCTGCGATTAATTTCAAGACACTAGCCAGGATTTGCACAGAAATTATAATCTGAAAAAATATTATACTGTTTTAGGTATGTTGAGTTATATATGAAAAATGAAGGATAAAAATCTAATAATAAAATGCTTCATGTTTTTAAAATAGGAAATTTAAAAATTATGCACATTTTTAAAAAATAGCTGAGGAAAAAACACTATAAATCCACTTACTATACAAAGATACAATATTTTATTGAAATTTTCTCATCTTATTTTCCCTATTAACCACTGTAAATCTACATTTCTTCAGAAGCAATTTTTCCTCTACTATATATTAACATTAAAACGATGTAATTCACATCACTTTATTACTCTACTCCTAGGTTTAGCGCTTCCATGTTTTTTTCCCATATTACTGTGAAGCTGATAGGAAGTTCATACACTGGACTAAATCATAGTTTATCGTATTTACAGAATGGACAAAAGTGGCTGGATTCATGTAATGTTATACAATAAACTATAATTTAGTAAAATAATTTAGTAAAATTATCCAGAATCAGGATTGCTGCTTAATACTGCAGTACAAAAAGCTACTAAAGAAGTAGTAATAGCCAACATTCAAACAGGGCTGCACATACATGCATTCACTTCCAGGAAGATGCCCCATTGAATTCAGTGGGCTAAATACTGAGTAAATAATTAAATAGAATTAGGCAGTACTTATCCTTAAGACAGCCAATATAAATTCCAGGGAATTTAACAAGAATTGATCTCAATGAAATTATCTTTAAATCCAATTTTGTATAGGTTTCAGGCCTACTGAATTTAATGAACATGGGCCTAACCCAATGAGGAAAGGACTGAAACCGTGCAGCTTTTGCCCAAATTCTTTTGTTTTGAACAGAACTATTTTGTGCAGCTTTTTTCAGGATGTTTTTTACAGTGTAATGTTATGCATGGTCATTGAGAGACTTGAATTCATCCACTGCACAAAACAATGGTTTTGCTTAACCATGATACACAGCAGTGTATACACCTCAAATGAACTATCTTCAAATACGCAAACTGAAATTTCTAGCATTCCCAATGAAGAATGCCAAGTGGTAAGAATTATAAAAGATGCTCTACCAGGACGTAGAATGTCCAGATTAAGCAAAACTGGTTTCCTTAATAATTGCACCTGGCTGGGTTATCACCAACATGTTAAACTATGGTTTGCAAACTAAAATGGCCAAGTCATTATTACAGCACAGTATTAAGCTATGAACAAACAAGCTATGTCTTAATATAATGAATCAAACACTTGAGCTATGCATACAAAGAATTTGGCAGCAAACTAACTTTCTTTTTTAATCTATGATCCTGTATAAACTTCTGCAGTAAAGTAGAAAAATATTAACGGAAATATGTCAGAATGAATTGTACATTTAACGCAACCACAAATTTTAGCACATAAAACAAATAATAAGAGCTAATCAAGTTGCTCTGAAGATCTCTGCTTGTGTTTCTGGATAAAAAAGTAATAACTGGTTCTTGAGCTATTTGATCATAATTAAGCCTGAGACTTACACATGAATATAAACATTGCAGTCCCCAAGTGGGAAGGAAAAATTCTCCTTCAAAATATAGAGAAGCATGGTTAAAAGGGGTGTGTGTGATTACAAAACTAGTTATTCACCTATCCCCAAAAAGCAAATCACTTTTTGTTGACGTCTATAAACTGTTAGAAGTGAGGCTATAGATGCCAATCTACACTTCCCATCACTTTCAGCCAGTATAACCTTTCTAACTTAGAATGAAGGGAAATGTAACCCACCACAAACGGGAAGTTTCCCTAAAGGAATCTGGCACAGTCGAGTGGGAGGAGTAGGCACTGTCGCCCATTAGACGCCAGCCCCTCTGCAGAAGAGGACAGCTGCCTTCACGTGGCGCACTGGGCCTCGTGTGGTGATAATAATCGAGTATCGGTGACAATGTTTTTCCACAAATCAGCAAATGCGATTCTGTAACTGGGGGGGTCTTCCCCTACACTTCCGGTAGATTTTCAGGCTTTTCGATTTCCCAGAGAGAAAGAAAAAAGAACGAAGGGTGAAAAAAATCTTTAATTTAGACACCGTGCATAGAGAAATCAGTGAAGGAGCTTCCTGCGAGGAAGACCACGGTTGGGCTTCTCCCTGGAAGTCTAAGACGTGGGAATCTGGAGCATGTTTCTGGGTAGGTGCATGGAACAGGCAAGGAGAAAGAAAAGTCCTCCCCCCCCCCTCAAATGAAAACACAGCACAAACCATGGAGAGGCTTGGTCTCAGGAAGGCAACACAGCCCACTTCTGTTCCACTTTCCCCTTTGCAAAAGTTTAAAAACAAACAAACGAAGAATAGGCAAGAAAGTCGCCAACTCCCTCCTCTCCCAAGCTGCGATTCTCTCCCCGCCTCACCTCGGTGTCATTATTCAGGTTCCAGAGATCCAATCGGCCCATCCCGTCGACGCAGGCGAAGAGAGCGGGGTGCACGGGGGACCACATGACGTCGTAGACATAGTCGGCATTGTCTTCAAAGGAGTAGAGCGGCTTGTTGTGCTGCAAAAGGGGGGCAAAAAAAGCAGAGGGGAAGGGCAAGAAGACTTCGTGGCGCTACTGCCGCCTCGGGCTGTCTGGAGAGTCTAATTAAAAACTTTGCACATTCAACCAAGTGTCATAAAACTTTCCGCAGATGAAAGGTCCGAGTACGCAAAGGCGGGCCTGCGGCGGCACTCTCCCGGGGGGCAGTCACCGGGGGCGGGGGGGGGGGGTAAGCGCACGAGAAATTATTGAAAACGGGAACGATTTCCCAGACTTTGCATACTGTATAGGTAAAGGGTGCTGCAACTGGTACTCCAACGCGGAGGGAAATAGGGAAACGCTAGCTAAAGGTTCATCTTGCCGCCTAGTCAGAAAATCTTGTCTCGCATAAGCTCCCGCTTACACCCAGAAGTCTCCCGCTCTGCAAGCGAAGACGATGACTGCCATCTAGTGCTCCTTGCGCAAAGTCGCTAATCGCGCAAACAGCTTGCGCTAAATTCCCAAGCCCGGCACCAACTTTTCTTATTCCTCGTCCCCTCCCCATCAGCTAAATATATGCCTGAACTCGGTCCCCTAAATGCTGTTCTCTCCTACTCTATACCATCGCCCTACGCTAATAGAACTGTCTAATCGAAACGCATCGCCTTAATTTCAAGCGTTTCTTTTGTTCTCCCGTTTTTCTTTTTGTAAGAGCAATGAGTCTAGATGGGTTTACAAATCTCACCCACCCCCAAACTTCATGTTCGAGATTCTCATTTCAGAAAAGAGGTGGTGAAGTTCAGAGCGTGCAGATGCCAAGAGTGTGGCGCTGCTTCTTGACTTTTACGAGTTTACGCATCATTTCATTTCACAATAGACAGGCGGGCAAGACAAGTTTAAAAGTACATGGGAACTGTAACATATAATTGGCTGTCATGAATTATTCATTACACTTACTTGCTTCTCCTTATTCTCATTTCTGAATAATGGCTTTGCTTAATTCCCAAACAGTTAACAGTAAAATAACATTTAAATGACAATGAAAATTCTAGAAACAATAAAGAAATTAAATATTCTTATTATCCATCACAGAAATCTAAACAACAGGGTTTGTACATATATGCAGATGAATGGGTGTATATTTGCATATCTGTGAATATGCATGCATATGCAAACACAAATATACTTGAAAAACTTGGTAAGTTTCAATATTAAACTTATGAGGATTTAACAATTATTTTATAAGATGGAATTTATCATGCATAAAATGTTCAGACATAAGATTGAACTTTTTTAAGTATGACAGTTTTTCAATAGTTGCTTAGTGTCAAGTATTTTAGAGCAGCTATGGAATACCTTTCGCCTTCCAGATGTCAGCAAGCTATAATTTACATTTCTATTATTCATGGCCAGTGGTGAGAGATGCAAGTTGTAGTTTCACATCTGGATGACCACAAATAGTATGATCTAAGAATTTTTCAGGATGTTCTTAATTTTGGTGGATAATTAACCTTATAGGAATTGAATTGCATAAAATATCTAATCAGACCAAACCAGACATATACTGTAGATAAGGATTGGTACACATTTAGAACTCTCCATTGACTATGTGATTTTTCTCATTCCCTTGTTTGGATGCATTCCTAATTTGATTAAACCCTTTAGTGAACAGCATTCATTATTCCTGCCGAAATTTCAGAGACATTATAAAAGAAAATCCAGATTTTCAAATTTTCTTTCTCAAAGTGACAAGACTAGCCTTTCTCAATCTAGTACCTTCCACAAATGTTAGACAAGGGTTTCCATCAACATTAGCAGGCAAGTTATGTGAGGTATTGTCCAAGACATTTAGAGACTATTGAAATCTGACCTCTGAAATAGTCAGTTCAGTTCAGCATTCAATACCATCATTCCAGACACTCTTCTAAGTAAATTAAACCAACTAGCGGTACCTGAACACACTTGTAAGTGGATCATAAGCTTCCTAACAGACAGGAAGCAGCACATGAAGCTAGGCGGAATCACATCCAATACCTGTACAATCAGCACAGGGGCCCCCCAAGGCTGTGTGCTTTCTCCACTTCTCCCTATATACCAATGACTGCATCTCAAACGATCCATCTGTTAAAATACTGAAGTTTGCTGATGACACGACAGTGATTGGTCTTATTCGAGACAATGATGAATCTGCATACAGACAGAGGTTATACAACTTGCCTCGTGGTGTAACCGGAACAATCTGGAACTGAACACACTCAAAACCGTATAAATGGTGGTAGACTTTAGAAGAAACCCTCCTATACTACCACCTCTTACATACTAGACAATACAGTATCAACAGTAGAGACCTTCAAATTTCTAGGTTCTACTATATCACATGACCTAAAATGGACACCTAACATCAAAAACATCATCAAAAAAGCACAACAAAGAATGTTCTTTCTGCACCAACTCAGAAAGCTCAAACTGCCCAAGGAGCTGCTGATCCAGTTCTACAGAGGAATTATTGAGTCTATCATCTGCACCTCTATAACTGTCTGGTTTGGTTCTGCAACCCAACAGGACAGACACAGACTTCAGAGGATAATTAGGACTGCAGAAAAAACAATTCCTACCCACCTGCCTTCAATTGAGGACCTGTATACTGCACGAGTCAAAAAGAGGGCTGTGAAAATATTTACAGACCCCTCACATCCCGGACATAAACTGTTTCAATTCCTTCCCTCAAAACGAAACTATAGAGCACTGCACACCAGAAAAACTAGACACAAGAACATTTTTTTCCCAAAAGCCATCACTCTGCTAAACAAATAATTCCCTCAACACTGTTCAACTATTTACAAAGTGTACACTACTATTACTGTTAATCTTCTCACCATTCCTTATCACCCATCCCCTCCCACTTGACTGTTTCCTAGTATGATTTGATTGTTGATTGTACCCTATGACTGTCATTAAGTGTTGTACGTTATGATTCTTGATTCTTAACGAATATATATTTTCTTTATGTATACTAAGAGTATTTACACAAAGACAAATTCCTTGTTTGTCCAATCACACTTGGCCAATAAAAGTATTCTATTCTGTTCTATTCTATTTTTCTGCATGAAACTTTTACTGTGCAAATGCCTTGGTTCATACATGGCTTTTAAAAAGATTTTTCTCTCTCATTTGTCTTTTCCCATAATTTTTCCATTGCTCTTTTTCCTATCTGAGAAAGAGCATTAAAGAACATAAAACAAAAGAACTGTTAAGAAAAAAGAAACAGACTACGTGGTACCTATCATTCTTTGCCACCATGAAATAAAATAGAAGGAAAATATGACTTGTTTGTTTTGTTAATGAGTGTTCATTTTGCTTGCCTTTCTGATTTTCAATTTTCTTCCCAAAGGCAGCAACTTATCAGTTGATTCTTAGAATTGTTAAATGGAGATGTTATAAATCTAGATAGAAACTGAGCCCATGAAGAATTTTAAAATATTGCTCAGTGTTTTCTCCCAATGTTTACATTATGTATTTTACGGGAGAACACATTGCATTATAAACATCTATAATCTATCCACTCACTTAAGTCTTCTGTTAAATCCTGCTTCTTTTATTCAAACAATCATAGATGAATAATAACTTTTCATGTGAAGTAACAGGATTTGACATAATTCTGATGGCTTTAGAATGAGGTTAATATGATCAGCTTCTTAAGTACTGCATATGAAGATACAAGTTACAAAACAGGCCCGGTTTAGGCCTTTCCCCAATAGGAGAGCAGCAATGTAAATGCCAGAGGTAGCGTGCTCATCCTATAAGGTTTTCTAGCAATTTTTGATAAACCCCTTATTTTGATGGCCTACCTCAAAGAATAGTATGTACACAGAAAGATGAAGATAAAAACTTGCATCTAGGGGCAAACTTTCAGCTGCCTCCCTGGTATATCTGCATGGATGATCTTCCTTAATCCATGAGGCGCCATTCGTTAAGAACTTCACTACTTAAAGGAAATCATGTGGACATGTTCACAGGTTTTAACTAGCATTTAACTGCTTAAAAGCTACAATGAAATCTATCAGATTTGCTTGTTTCATGAGACAAGTCATTTCACAGAAAGAATAATTGAAGCATATTTATGAATTTTATTTCCAGCTTGCAAAGTTCCTTTACTGTACTTATCAGAGAGCCATATTGTTTTCACTTTGCATTCATTTGGAGATTCTATATCATTCAGGTCATGGTTATTCTAAAGGTGCTTTTTCAAGAAGCAATTGGACTTTCTGTTTTTTCTTTGAAGACTTTTCACTTCTCATCCAAGAAACTTCTTCACCTCTGACTGGATGGTGGGGAATGGAAGGATTTATTGTCCTTGCAGACAACTGGTCATTTGCATTCTTTTAGCAAGTTGTTAAGGCCACCTGGAGGTTTATCTGTGTCCTCACAGTCACCTGAGTAGTGCAAATGGATGTGGAGCCTTCTTGAAACTGTTGAAAGGACTATGTTGTAGACTGAAGATAGATGATGTTGTATCTCTCCTGCTCTGTTGAGAGAGAACTGTTCTATTTTGACATAGATGGCCTCTTTGATCCCTCTTTCAAATCAGCAGTTCTTTCTGTCCAAAATGTGGACTTTACTGTCTTCAAAAGTGTGGCCTTTTACCAATGTCTTCAAAGAAAAACCAAAAGTCCAGTTGCCTCTTGAAAAAGCACCTTAGGGACAGCGTACATAAATGTTCATACATAGCGTACATAAATGTTCCCCAAAAGTTCTTAGGTTTATGGAGTTTCTTGATTACCCTAAAAACAAAAATCTTTGCTTGAAATACTTTTTTTCCCCATTTGTATCACCTTTGTCAAATGCAATACTTATTGTCTTTGGGAAAAATTCTGAAAAATGTAAGATGAATCTCACAATTAAGATAGTGCTGCACAAATGAGGTTGATTAGCTTTTTATTTAGTACATCATTTGAAATTATATCCACCTTTGGTAATAGCAAGAAGTACCAACTTCTTGTCTTTGCCTTGCAAGGAACTCATATATTCTGGTAAAGTAA